CAATCAATCAAACAAGTACTGTAATCATACCATTCTATCATTCTAAGATAATATCTTACCTTACAGTACTGAATTTCAAAGTAAATTTTCCACCACTCTGTATGATAGGGGAGTAACACATCTCAACCTAAACAGATCAGAACAACCATCTTAAAAAAAACACACTGCATTCTCATCAATTAAATGGTTACCACCGACTATTTTGGCTAATTTTTCAATACTCCAATGAAGGATTAATGTACAAAATGTCAGTAAGTTGTTTCACCTATTTTAACGGTGTTAAATTTATCTTTTTACCCAACTGTTTTTCTGGAAACATCGACGCAGCTCACACTAGTTTACTGCTAGTTCCCAYCACTAATTTTTCCATGTTCTGGTCACATCACTATCTAGTTTTCCAAAGCATTTTACCTGTTCAGGATCCATACCAGGCTGAAGATAYTTCTTCGATTCCAAAGCACCCTCTATATTATCTGCTAATTTYGAATGTTTGACTTTCTGTGATAATGAAATATGAAATAAAATAAATAAGAAATAATAATAATAAAAAATTTTCAAATATTTAATTAAGCATAATTTGCTACTTCAAAAATCCTTGAGTAGTTTAGCTTAAGCTGCAATGTGGTTGTTTAATTTACTTATGCATAAAAGTGTCCCTAGTTTCAGTGGCTTTTCTACAGTGTTTGCCTATTTACCTTTTCTTCATCCACAATCTCCATGATTTGATTTTTGAAATACTTGTTAAATATGTCTGACGAGACCTGCGCCGCTTTCTGGAAATAGAAATGATGATTTATCACTTAAAGGGACATGGTCCACCAGCATCCCTTTCGAGCTTTTGCTCATGTTTGAAAATAAAAATACATCGTAATATAAGCAAAAAGTTTAATATCCCTTTCTACTACATAAATGAAAATATTGTAAGATACAACCTTTAAAATGATGGATGGAAACAGATTGCAAATGGATATTCGAAGTCACCTCATTTTCCATATGTGAAAAATCTAAAACACGACCGCATTAAATGCTGGTGGACCATATCCCTTTAATATTCTGTACATACATGGAAAAATTAATTTCCGACCTCACTAGGATTCGAAACCCACGACCCTCATGAGACTTTATCCCAGAATAACCACCTTCTAAGCACTATAACTTTCCTTTAATTATATATTATGTTTGCTCTATGTCTTTGGTTTTATCATGTTTACCTTGACATTAACTAATTCAATGTCTTCCCTGACGGCCATCACATAAGCCATGCCATTACTGATGTCAACCTTGGATAACACAAGTCAAATGAATTAATTGTAAACAAAAACCTTCAACCATAAACTTTTTATACTGTATTGAGGCATTATATCTTGTTGCAGATATCAAGCTTACATGGAACTTTGCATTTTAGTCATCAAAATATATTATTTAATATAATAATATATAATATAATCCTATTTATATAGCGCTTATCCAATTCTGTTCTAAGCGCTTTAAAACTACATGACAACTACAAAACACATGAGAGTCTTGGTAGACTGTGAGCTTGAGTTAAAGTGCAAATATCACAACTATACTATTTAACATTATTCCTTTTTCCTGACTTTTCGTGATTGAACTTTATCATCAAATCACCAAAGATTAATGTCATAAATGTGTTTGAATTTTATGGAATTGAAAAGCTGTGACCGACTACAAAAATTTTGGGAATGCACTTGAAAAGTGACTTCAGCTGACAATAAAAAAAGAAAGCATGATGAAAAACATAAATGGACAGACTGTGTTTATTCTAAACAACAAAATTGTACTAGTTAGCTTTTACAGCACCTTTGATTTGGTGATAAACTAGTTATATCTATTTCTAAAATTTGCATGTGAAAATGCACTTAGATTACAGTTAATCAAGCTTCTGATTGGTCAAAAAAGGATAAACATTTCCAAAATATATCTAGGTGGTCAAAGCTTTTCGATTTGCACTGTAATGTTGTTTTACTTCGCGAAATAATATTTAATACATGACTGAATTACCTTTTCAAACGACTCGGCATCAAAGGCCTCTTTCCATCCTTCCATGAACTGGCCTTGAAAATTGTCTTTGATAAAAACTCCAACTGCTTTCCCCTTAAACAAACCAGAGAAGTCTATTATGAATCCTGTTCCATATTCAGATGCAAAAATACCTTTGAACACTATCCTAAACCAACAAGTTTAAAAATTGTAATATGTAGACTTTGTCCCTGTTACAAAGTTGGAAGGTTGTGCATTAAAATTGAAGCATTTTTTGTCTAGATATTGCAGTTTATAGCACCAACTTATTGGTGACAACGTAACCTTTCCACTGCCATCATAACATGTACTTACTTCACCTTCCTTCTTGATTGCTTCAAGCAACGTGTCAAAATTAGCCTTATCCTGATCTGCTTTATTTCTGAGATGGAGCTCAATCAATGGAGTTCCTTCGTGCTTCTTCTGCGCATCTTGTAGTGCTTTTAGAAAGTCAATTTTCTTCTTACTGGCCAAGAAATGCATGGTTGATCCACAAAGAACTGTGACAGTGTCAGCTAACTCGTAGCCAAATAACCATTGCTAAAAAGAAATATGAGCAATTAGCCCAATTATAACATATAGACCCCTTGCAGTTCATGGGAATGCAGCTCCAACTGGAGGACAAAACAATGGATTCTAGTTCCCAAGAGGATAAAAATCTTTTGTTTTGTCCTCCAGATGAAGCTGCTTTGACGTCACATGCAAGGGGTCTATACTAAAATTTACATTGGGGACACATTTACATTTTATTTTTCTATCTACAGTTATCCTTGCATCCTATATCAACAACAAAAGGAAATCCTTTCAAAACTGCATAAAAATTAACTCACTTTGAACTCCACTTGAATCTATCAGCTGAGATTATAATTAATAAGTGTATAATGAAATATATAAGTCTCAACGATTTCATAAAACCCCTACCAGTCCCATCATGCAAATCAATCCCTCAAAAGTCTAATTAGTAATCTATTTAAATATATAAACTTAAATAGTATTTAATATATCGATATCCAAACTTTGAATACGTTAATTTCCTGTGTTACCGTTTTTATGTAAGCTTATGTGTTCTTAAATTAAATTGTTCACCCATAGTTTGAATGAATTGACGAGGAATATCCAATCGTAATATTATTATGATAATTTTTTATATAAAGATTGTTTTTACATACTTGGATGGCAGTCGATTTGCTGTATATTACATCCTCATCTTGACCAACTGCAATCACGATCGCTCCAACGTGCGGGAAATGTGTGCCATTTTCTTGCTTGACGTTTTCAGTCTACGAAGAAGAAACCATGTGACGTAAAAAGCGTGCAGCACTCAAAATCAATTTTTACTCGCCTAGAATACAAGCAAAAAAACACTTCGTACCTTCCACGATGAGTATAATCTCTTTATCCTCCGAAAAAAGGCTTCTTTATCGAGGGATATCTTCGTTCCAGACATAATTTCTCACTCGTATGATCTAAAAAGAGAGATGTCTGAAGTTGAGAATCCAAAATGGCGGGAAGTTAGATGTTGCATTACGTCATAGCTGCATCGACCAATCACAGCTATCTTTTCGAAAATTTTTAATTTAAAAATTTGTTCCTTCGTTTATTTGCACGTATAATTTTCGAAAGAAAACAAATTTTGTAAAATCAACTGTTAATTTTCAAACATAATATAAGATTAATTACGAAATACTTTAGGTTTTGTTATATCGATTGGGATGCCTGTTGAAGATCATACACAGGTAGCCCACAACACACTGGAGACGAGTTACCGTTGTCCATATTTCATTCAATCATAGTCAAAAAAGACATTCATGTCACTAAGAAAATTCAGATACGCATCCAACTAGCTGTTTTTTGAAACTTTATTAAAGGGCCCGAGTGTGCACCATTATGCTTTGCGGGCCGTGCGGGCATGGAGGCGGCCATTTTCAGTTTGCCGAAAGTCCATAAATTGTACTGTGCGCTTCGAATCTTTGACCACCTTACTTTTCTAATCACTTTAAACGCTGATATAATAGTTTTCAACCATCTGACATTCGTTTTATGGCGATATTTGGATACTAGAAGTATTTTGTTGTAAATCATAACAATAACAGAGGCGCGCAAGACATAATGGTGCAAACTGGGTCTTAAATAAAAACTATTAATTATTATAGTACTCTGCTGTTTTACAAACTTTCACCAAGCTAAGACAAATTTGCAATATTGTTGCTGTCCTAGTTTAGCTTCTTTGTTTCCTGTTTCATGGCCTATAGTTATTGCGAGAAAAGTTGTCAGTGCTTAGTAAAGGTTTAAAACGAGAAACGTCGACTTACAAACTTAAGTTGTTGACTTAGGGTATTTGTACCTCAAGTTTCTCGACCTTTCGCTAAACTAACCCCCGCCTTTACGTGTACGGATGTGGAACTTTCTCTTTCCCGAAGACGCGAAGGAGCACAAAAATAGCAGCTGTAGTTTTGACCCTAGATTCCGTCATGGTAATTGATGTTAAACGTAGCTGACTTGAGCATCTTATCAATTGACAAAAGAGATAAAAGAAATCATGTTTATTCTCACGTGTTTAACTTATTTCAAATTTTGTTAATATAATTAAGCACGCAAAACACGATTATTTTTAAACCTTTCACATGCATACAGAAGAACGTTTCTTCAAAATTTCAAAATGTTTACATTTATGTATTATGCTGTTTACTTAACGAAGTAATTTTTAACTTTTTTAACTGCATCGTGATCTGACAATCTCCGACGCCATGTTTTTGACCCCTGAGCGCACGTASGCGCGCCCACGACTGAAAACAAAAGCGCGCGAAAATCTTCTAAGAAAAAGTTGACTTTAAAATGTTTCATTATCCGTTCGCTATGAGGTACATATTGTAGCTGGCCTGCTTTGATACAGTCTGAGCAAAAATAATGATCATGAGTTTTAGATAACAAGCCATTCAATGTTAAATAAATAATGAACTAGACAATTTGTTTTATGAGGGTCGCACGGAAGCCATTTCAATGTTGAATTGGTGAATAAAATGCCAATGCTTTTGTCCAGTAAACGATTCAATAAACAAACCAACAAATTAGGGAAACCGAGCATTGAACAACAACAATGAATGGAATTACAACCAAAGATTTAAGATAAGTGTTAAAACACTTGCTGGAAAGAAAAAATTAAGGAAGTTTCTGATTAAATTTTGTGCTGTTATCAGCTGCTTTCTAGTTCTTCATCCAAACAACAGATTTTTTACTTCTATCATGCTCGGTTTATCAGGCTTTTATACGACGAGGAAATTTTTTCCTGATACAAAAGCTGGGGGCACACCATTATTTTTAAACTTCGTACACTTGAATGCAGCCGGTTAAGAAATATTAAAGCAAGCGGCGAGTTTAATTGAAAGATTTATCTAAATTATCTGTAGTTTAGAGTATCTTTTAGTATCGCCACTTCAACCACTCTAAGAGAAAACGTCTCGGCCCGCCATTACTCCACTACATGACTTTTTTTCCGGGTTTCCGCCTTTAAGTCGAAACGTTTCTAATAATGCATATGAAAATCTTTAGACGTCAAAGATTTCGATTTTTATCATGATTTTTATTTGATCAGTTTGTTTTCTTTTCTGTTTGCTTTGCTTTGCTTTTTTGCTGTTATTATTATTGAAAATGTACAAGTGATGTACATCGACTTTTTTACGTGTACGGGTTATCAGACTTATCACGAAACGTATAAACCATCAAAACATGTGCCTGGGGTCTCTAATACTAGTTATAGAAAAGCAGCCTGTTGAAAATTGGTTCTTTATTTATATTGTGATATTGACCGCTATTTTGCGGTAAGAATATTCCGGAAAAAGGCGTAAGGAGGCTCAACGTCAACTGGTCAGAGTTCGAGCAAATCGTCTGGTCCGGTCACATGCTGTTGTTATTGATATCGCCGGAGGCGAGTGACACCACATCAGAACACGCTTCACTAGAGCGCTCACTTTTGACTCAACTGTACTTCAACACAAACAACTTGGCTTTCAAACTCAAATGGACGAGCAAGAAAAGAAAGTATCGATAACCCTAACGGCAGAAGACAAACCTCTTTCTATGTTATCATGGGGGGCGGATGCTATGGAAGATTATGGAAACGTTTACAGCAGGAAGATTTCGGAGAACAAAGATGAACAAGCAGCTATTTGGACAAGTATGTACGAGAAAAATCTTGGACGAAAAGTTAGTGATTTACCACCTTGGATAGATCCTGGTAAGGCTGATAAGAAATATGGAGATCCGAGCAAGATGGATCTAGCGAGTATTCACATGCAGAGAGCTGCAGAATCAGGTGCGGCTCATTCAAGCCCGATTATACAACAAACAGCTGAAGAAAGGAGACACCATCGAAAACATCACAGACAAAAACGTTCAGGTTCGTCTGAGTCATACGCTTCTACATCTTCTTCTACGTCTGAATGCGAGGAAGATCAACTTAAAAGTACAATAGCAGCATTCCATGACAAAATGTCTCAAGGAGTTGAAGGGAATGACTGACGAACTCGTGGTCGTGCAGCTGTCTAGGTGCTAATTACATATATGTACTTGATTTCAAGAACTGTTTTATCATGCTTTTTGGCATCCGATTATTATGAGAATCTCACAAATAGGCACTTTTCTTGAGTGCCTTGCCATTTTACCTACTGACCAAATTATTCTTAATGTAAAAACTGTAAAAAAGCGGGAATGAACTTGACTTCAACTAAGACTTGCCACGTCATGTAGGGGACCTTTGGTCACAAAACGCTCGGTTTTCTATAAGAACATGTTACTATCGTTAAAAAGCAAGCTAAGATGTTGTACAAAAGAAAATTCAAGCCAAGCTATAGATATGCACAAAAGTCACAAGTTTTCGCGATAATTTATTTCTAAGCATGCAATTTCTAAAGTATTTCTTTTTCTGTCTGTGCCTGCTCAATGCTCGATGATATAAAGGCCGCGGGCGACTAACTTCGACAAGATTACGGGCAACGCAAGTCATTATTTTTCAGCTCAAAAGTCAAACAAACATTAGGGAACTGAGTATAATTGTTTTTTAATTGTAAAGCAAATGTACTTCTGCAGTTAACACAAGTAAATCAAAATGAAAGTTTTATCCTCAAAAGAGTTGACGCATATATGACCATATATCTGATTTCCGGTGTTACGGTATTACAGGGAAACGGGGCCGGGGGATTTTGAAAGAGAAAAATGTCTTCCTATAAAATGATATTTATGTAAGCAACTATTTCATTAAGAACTTCTTTATACTGTAAAATAAAACTTGCAATTTACACGATAATGTTGATTGATTCATGTTGTGACATTCTTATGAAAATACATGTCAGCCATACCAATGGAAATTAGATATAGAAATTTTAAGTTTTCAAATGCGTGCAAAGTGTCTACATTTGGAGAGAAAGCTGCAACTTCTTGTTGTGTGATCTTGTGTCCAAAGTCCTTTCTTGTGTCACGTTTGTGGGAACTGGGAGAATACTTTTAGGTCAGACTATTCGTAACAACAAAGCTCGAATAAAGTGAATAATTAATCCACATATCAGACATATGTCTGAACTAAATCAACAATATGCATTTTCTTTATTTTATGGGAATTTTGATCTTTTTATGAAGTATTCAAACCACGTGGTCCTTCATGAAAATTGGCGCAAATGTTCACATCAATATAGAGCTAATTTAATGCCGTTCGTGACATTTTCTTGACAAATTTGTCATCCGTAATATGCAAATCGACCAAAGTGGTTCATGTCAGTTTTTGTCTGATTCGCGGCTACTTGAAACCAGACAAAGATGACATTGTTAGAAAACAGGTCACATTCGGAAGAGATTTTCCGGATAAAGTTCCAATGCGAAACTTTCTAAGGCCACGCGGGTCAAGCTGTTGAAATGAGAAGCCATTTGAGTGCTCATGGAAGCGCGGGGTGGAAACCTGTTGACTGCTCTACACAGGCAGCCCAGCCCAAATTTTAATGACAAGGTTTGGTGGGATGCAGGAAGATAAGTGTCTCAAATGATACCTATACGTAGCGAGAGAGACTTGTAGCTTATTGTGTTAAAAACTATGAAACGTTTTAGAAGTTAAAGAATATTTTTAGTATTCTTTAAAAAGCGTTTCGCATTTCCAGTCCCCYGGGACGTCAGGGATGCTGTTCTTGAACTTCACGCTGTTTCCTGCTCAGGACTTATGCTTTGGGAAGAAATGTCTGAAACATGAGCAGAACGCGCGAAGAGAGGCGCTGACATTCCCACATGGGTGTTTAAAAAGAGAAAGTGACAGCAAATTAAGTCGAATATACAAAACTTTGGTCTTCCTGTGGCAGGCCTGGCTACATTTCAATTTTAATAGTTTGGCGAGAGGAACGAAAAGAGCAAGATGTAAAGTTACTTGCGACAAAAATGTGATTTCTTAACAGAAAAAAGGTTAAATGCAGGAAAAACTTTAATTATATCCATTTCAAGCCTTACGCACCCTCTCAGATTGTGAATGTATCAGTTAATTTGAGAAAATCGCCTGGAAAATGGGTTAATTTTAGCGTTGTCGTCTGCAGTTGATGTTTCTGCAAAACAGCTGAGCAAAAATGTCGAGCGAAAATGATTTTTTCAAGCTTTTAGGTAAGAAATAGATAATGAGACTATCTAACTATAATTCACTATGAGATTTAAAGATATATTGTTTGAATTAATAAAAAATTAATTTTAATCCTACTGTTCATAGATGTCATCATCATAATCATTTAATCTGCATTATTTGTCATCATAATCACAAGTATATTATATCTGCCACCATAGCAACACGAAAGAGGCAAATTAGTCAAGGCAATACTGATCCAAAGAAACTCAAATCTGAGATTTTAGCATTCATAGAAGAAAACCAAAGCTTTGAAGGGATTTTATCAGAGGTAAGGTGCATATGTTAGGAAAAGATTTGATATAAGCTTAACTCTGAAGTCATAATAGAGATTACAGCAAGACCAACACTTAGAAATAGTGTGGCCCTATAGTAACAGCTTGTTAAGAGCACATCAGAGAATACAGCAAGAAGAACACTTAGAAAGTTCTCCAATTGTTGTCTTGTAGTATCAAATTGTCAAAAACACATCACCTTCACTGCACAGCACTATCACAATATAAAAGTGACATTATTTTCTTTCCTCCCTTAGCAATGTATTTTGCATTTTACATCAGAATCATTTTAAATCCTCCAAAATCTTGTTCAAAGCAAGTATTTGGTGCATATTTTTTTCATTATTTTATTTAATTAACAGGTTTCTGACTCAAAAGAACAGAAGCATGTCCAGAGTGATCTTGGAAGCATTGACATCTCTGGTGAATTTGTTGGTAATTACTGAATATTTTAATTTTAATCTTTGACAATCGACGTTCGTCGTTCTCCCCGACAACAATTTTTGAAATAGCTGTATACAGCAATATGCAGAAATCATGATCTTTTTTGCTCATATTCAATTGTATATRAAAATATATCAGAAATTATGGAATATCTTTGCCAATTTTTCAGAAAGTGCTAGTGCTTGGCAACTACAAAAAATATCAGCAATGATATCCAATAATTCCCGATATATTCATTATACTATACTTGAAATGTATTTCAAAATGATCATAATTTCTTCATATTAGTGTATCTATAATAATAGTTTTTTTTAGTGTCTGATTGTATAAGCTTATTGAAGCATCAAGCCAAGAAAGCATCATGTACACTGGACCTTCTAGCAGCAGAGCTGTTGTCTAAGAAGTTATATCAAGCGATCTGTAACTGCAGTGATGGAAACTCACAGTTCTTAAATGATAAGCAAAAGGTGAAAAACGCATGCATGTAACTATACTAGACTATGCACACATAGAGTATGCAACTGATGATCTCACAAAACAAAAATAAGTTCTTAAATTTGCTCTCCATATTCTGAAAGTGCATCATTTTTAATGCATCCTTGCTAAATATGAGTGTCTTTGTGCCATTTATAGTAGAGATACAAGCAATTTTATGGTCAGGTGACCACACATAAACGCTTGTAAATTTGGTTTTGTTCCTTTCGTTATTGAACAAATTTGTTACGGAAAATATTGCAAGTTAACTTGCTAGTGAAATTGTCATTTTTAAATCTGATTTGTTGCTCAAATAACATGTTTTCGATGGAAATTTTCCTTTTTACCGCCACCTATTTCCAGCTCTAGGATATGTCAGTTACATAAGTCATGCTTTCTTGTTTTAGGCAGTAATGTCAACCGTCGTGATGATCATCAAAGCACTTTTAAAAGAAAACTCTTTTAATAGAGTCCATTTTGCAAAGTGCTTATCATCAGGACAGCAACATCAAGTATGTTTATTTTTGATTGGTAATATTTTAATAGCCAAGTAACTAAATGAATGGAACGATAAGTAAATACTTATAATAATCTAACAGGTTAGATGTTATCAATAAGCAAATAAGAAAATGAATAAAATTTGTTTGGTAAAATAAATAAGCTGATTTATGAAGCACCAAGGGGATTGATAGACTTTCATTAACTTTATTGTAAAAATAAAATAAAAATTATATGGAATTAATTGATGTATTAACTGATTTAATCTTTTAAATCTAGGTTTCTAGCCTTCCTCTTGAAGTGTTATGGATCCTTCATACAAGTCACATTACTTCATTTAATACATATCTTGCTTGGTATGAATGCTTCTCACTTTCCATTTCCCACTTTTCATTTTCCATTTCCCACTTTTCACTTCCCACTTTTCACTTCTCATTTCCCACTTTTCACTTTCAATTTACCTATTTCCCATTTCAGCTGTTCATATAATACTGTGTCCTGTGGCTCTTTAGTTAAAGGACTTGTTGAAACATGTAATTCCTCACCACCTGAAAGACATAGCGACCAAGTAGCAATGATATCAGGTATCTGTAATTCATTAATATTAATGTTCATTAATTGTATCACTGTCCTAAGACTTCCTGACATTTTTCCTCGCATAATTTTGCTTTATCTTAACTATTATTTTTTCCAAAATTGTAGTTTTTGTTAGTGTTCTTCTGCCACTTGCTTACAAAGAAAAACCAAACAACGATAAGAAGACAAATCTCGAAAAGGTATGTATTATTTGAATAGCTCTTTTCATGATTATAAAACAGGGTCTGTTAGGGGATTGGGAGGCAGAATTGGTCAACAGCCAAAAATTGTCCTTTTTGAGCTTGTTGATTTTTTTGCAATGCAAGGAAAATAATTTTTGTTTGTGAAAAAAGTCATGACTTGACACTCTTGTTCATTTGAAGGCTACAGCAAACATTATGCCTGTTTTGGTTTTAAATGCGAAAAGGTCCATTCTTTGCATTAAACTTGCTATTGTTTTTTTTTAAGTGACCTATTTATTTCTACATGAAAAGATGAACAACAAATCTGTCTTGTTTTATTTAGGTTTCAGAGGATATTCTTCAAAATATGATCAATAGTAAGTTGTGAGGTGGAATAATTTCACTCATTAATGAATACAATGATAATTGTATTGTTCCACAAGTAGAAATAATAATATACAATGGATTCTATGTTGGGGTAAATTTAGTATGAGAGTTTATTGTGCAGTGAACATGCTATGCTATGGTTTAGATCATTTCTGTTTTCTATGGTGTTTATATATGCCAAGTTAAAGGAAAGGAAGTGGAAGAAATATTGTCTTTTTTTTCTGGTGAAAAAATAACAAACAAACTACAATATAGGACCTTGCATTTTACTGACTAAATTGCATATTACAATAATACAATTTCTTAAAAAAACTTATAACTTTAGATATAAAAAAATACTTAAAAACAATACTATAATAATAATTTCTATTGAACACAATTTGGTATTACTGAGGAATAGACCAATTGACAAGAATGAAATGACTTGCATAAATCTGGCTATCATTTGGAAATAAACCATCTAGTTTTTAATTACCATCTTCCTTTCTAGATAATATGCTAGAATTTTCATCAAGTGAAGATGAATCATCTGTGGAGTATTCCAGGTAAGAGGATTTCCTGGTAAAGTCTGCCATACGACTTCCATATATGGATGTCCATATTCATGGCTCTGATGTGCCTATAGAAGCCTCATATGTCTCTGCAGAAGGTTCATTAATTTTATATTCAATCTTATGTACATATACGTGGATTATCCATGCATGCCATTGCATAAATATCACAAAAGTTCAGGTTCGCTTAAGTGAATTCATCTCGTGGCTTAATGGTTAAGTTTAGGGAAAATATCGGGTTAGGCAATGCATAGCACTGGATCGAATCTTAGTGCACGTTCTTCAAAAAAAATTTTCAGCTTAAGTTTAAGTTTAAGTTCTTCTCCACATAATTGGGACATGAGAGCCTTCTACGTGCACATTGGGGCCATGTACATGCACAAGGTCCATGTATGGAAGTCGTACGGCAGGTCATTCTCGGATTTCAAGGTATGTTATCATGGAGAATTGACACTCAAAATTGCTATTTGTATATTTTAGGATTGATATTTTGGAAGTCATACGTCACATTCAAGACATCCCAGAAGGGACCATGTCAAAATTCTTTACTGATCGACTTCACAAACTATTGTTTTCGTCCTCTAAAAGTGAGCAGCTTTTGCACTCTGTATTGTTTACTTTCTCAAAGTTATAAGTGCATCTTTTAAATTTTTGATTTTAACTAATTGAAGCAAGTCTAATGCTACATAAAGTAAGCAGGGGGGGGGATCCAGCATTTTATAAGAGGGGTGCATTTTTTAGTAATATATAGCTAGAAACTAAGTATTATAGCAGATGGAATGGTTTTGATAGTGACAGATCAGATATATCATTTTCTTGATAAAAGAGTGGGAGTATAAAAAGCAGAAAAAGAGGTTTATACTCATATATATAAAAATATTACGTCAACAAAAAAGGGGGGTGCATCCGCACCCAAAGCACCTCCCCGGGATCCGCCCCTGGTAAGAGACTTTGACTAGTAAGTGCTTCACACTATTTAACCATTGGCTTCATCTTTGAAGATTCTCAGGTTTCAGATGCAGTAATGAACCAAGGAAAGTGGAATTTTTCATCTTTGACAGAACAGACAAGAACAAGATTTCAACAGGTACATTTATTGTATTTTTTTACGTTTTGACAATTTTATCTTGACAAAAGTGAAAATCTAGACCTTCAYATTAAGTGTCTACCATCGATTTTATACAATTGACAATGTTATGGAAACATTCAGCACTTTCACATGGAAGAACTATCTGAAATTTGTACTTGTGAAAAGTTTGAAAGCTACATCTATGGACTAACTACTAAAAAAAGTTATGGAACAATGTAAATCCTTTATATTTTTTTGTGATTTGTAGTTTCTTTACATATTTGATCCAAAGTCAATAATGGATCATTTGAGTCAAGCATTCACAAGAAAAGAGGTATATCATAACATTTATTTATTATTATAGAATTTTTGATATATTATAACGTGCGCTCTGATTGGCTGACAACCGTGTTTATATCAGAAGACACTTCTTTCTGGAAAAATTTATTTTATTTTTCGCTCAAAAATGCAGAAAAAGTTAATTAAGAACTATGAAACGGCCGCTCGTGTCTCTGTCCTCTGATGTAAACACGGTGAGAGTTGAAAAACATGAGAGAAGCAAGCTTAGGAACATGAGCGTATGTCAGGACAGAGACACATGTATCGTTTTATATTTCTGTAAATAAACTGAATTTAAAGTGTTTAACTATATTGTTTGTTCAAAGCAGAGCAGAGCAAAATTAATCAGCCTGGAGCTTGTAACTGTCACTTTCATTTTTACATTATTTTGTTTCATTTTGATCATGTTGCTTTGTTTAAACTTAAAAGTTAATAAAAACAAATAATATCAGATATTAATGTATTGATTTCAAGGTTGATTGGAGGACAATACTGTCATTTCTTTCTGTTTTTCTTGTTTGCCAAGAAGAAGCTGCAGCCTTGATCAAAGGTAAACTAGGTCATTAACATTCCCTTTTCTCTCCCATTTCTTTTAATTTGCGTACCGCATGTACACTTTACTAAATACAACTAAATAGGCAGCACTATTTAGTTTGTGCAGTTGCACGGTTTAAGTGCGATCACTCTATAAGATATGTTATTGCGTAGTTTTACATGTAAAATAGTTTATCAAGGTTTGTGCTACTCCTTAAAGTCCTTGAAAAGTCCTGGAATTGAAAACTTGTTTTCAAGGGTGCTTGAAAGCCCTTGAAAATTGGGAAAATCTCTGAAACTCCTGGAAAACTCCTTGAATCTGATATAATTGACATGTTGATTGCAGTTAGCTTTTGGATTGAAATGTGGCTATTTTAAAAAATCGCCACTTGAAACGTCCGCAAACATCTAAAAATATCTTCAAAGATACTCCTTGAAAATGACGTTTTATGCTTAAAAAGTACTTGAAAAGTCCTGGAATTTTGTAGTGAAAATGTTGCACGAACCCTGTTTATACAAAACATACTTCAGTTCTATGCAAGTAATGTAAGGCTTATCTTTCTTTCACTAGAGTACACAGATAGCCTGTTACAAGATGCTATGACTACCTGTGACATCCACAGCATGGCTGTATTACTGCTTGTCATCAGACAATCTTCCTTGGAGGGTACACATGTCTTTCCTTCTTATCTAACATGGTTTAAGGTTTGTTTCTTTTTTTTATTATAATTTGTAATTTGCTTTATGAAATTGAATGCAAACAAAACCATGAAAAACCTTTAATAAAAATGGTGTTAAATGTGAATTCCTTTATTTTCGATTGTCTAATATTCGAGTTTCAAGATCTTATTTGTACAACCTTAACCTCGAAAGCATGAAATATATTCTTTTATTTAGCAGAGATCCTATTGTAATGCAAACACTCTGTGTAAAAAGAAGACAATAAAAAATTATGCTTGAAGCTTGTAGAGAGAATTTGAAACTGGAGTATTTTCACTATATTGTGCTTATTGTGCTATTTAGCTATATTTGGTTAATACTTTTTCAGGTTTTTAGTTTTAACTTTTCACTCTATAAAATAACTGGACAATAACAAGTTTCCTTATTGTTTGTTTCTTGTTGTTTGCAGTCCAAGTTTGGAAATGCGGCCACCACACTTCTTAACAACAAAAAGACTGTGCAGTTTTTTATGCAATTTTTAAGTGAGCTTGTACCTTATGAGCCATCTTATTATCTTAAGGTAATTTCACCACACTTCAATCAATCAATCAATCAACCATCCAACCTTATGGTACCAATCACTCAATCAATCAAACAATCAACCTTCTAGTCAGTCAACCATCAATCCATCAATCAATCCATCAATCAATCAATCAACCAACTTATCAATCAATCAACAAACCTACCAATCAATCACTCGATCAGTTAATCAATCAACCAATCAATCAATCAATCAACCAACCAACTAACCAATCAACCAAACTACCAATCACTCGCTCACTCAATTAACAATCAATCAGTCAGTCAGTCAGTCAGTCAGTCAGTCAGTCAGTCAATCAACCAATCAATCAATCAATTAATCAATCAATCAGTCAATCAACCAATAAATCAACCATTCAACCAGCCAGTCAGCCAAACAACCTATAAGTCAGTTAGTCAACCAACCATCAATCAATTAAGTAAATCAATCACAATCAATCAATCAGTCATTAAAGTTGATTCAAGACAGCACTTCTTTCACTTCTGCTTAATATGTCATTGTTCGAACAAGGCTGATGTGTTTTAATGTTTACATTAGGTCCACATCATCAAGTCACCACAGGTTCCTGCTAAGCTACGTAGCTTCATACATGATTATGTCTCTCTTGCTCGAACACGATTGATGGACCTCAAGGTATTATATCAATGATTATAACTTCCTCATCATGTAATGATGTTACATCAACACATAATGGAGAATGGCAGCAGGTCGGATGGAAAAAAATGCATTTTACTGGGTGTAATGTGTGTTCTTATTTGAATGTGTTCAGGAACCTGTAGAGCTGACAGGATTGTATGACCATGAAAGCTCCATCTTACTTCCATCAGATGAAAAGACAGAACATCAGAAGGTACAGTGTTTTTTTTGTGTGTGTGTGCCAGGAAAGCCATGAAATAAAACCAAACTAAATACTAACAAATAACGGCTATTTAGAGGCAAATTGTCAGTACCAATGAACCAGAACGCAATGAAGATGAATTAAGAATGGTCCCATGTGGATTGATCTTTATTGCGTTCTAAAAAATTGTCTCTAAATAGCTGCTATTTGTTAGTATTTAGTTTGGTTTTATTTCATGGTTTTCCTGCGGCTACTCTATAAGCAAACTCTGTCTGAAGATGTTGACATTACGCATGTCACTTACAGCTACAAGAGCAAGCAATCAGTGAGGTGGAAAAAGTTCTTGATTCTTATGGCAAGACAGGAAAGGTTCCTGGTAGCGTCATGGAAGCAAGGTAATTAATATGATAGATCTCCAAGAGGGGAATCCCCCTATTGCTTCTAAACTAGTTAACGCTGTTATCATTCTAAAGGGGAATCTCCCTGGTACTGCCACTGTAGTTTTAAGGCTTTTCTGATCCAAGGGGGAATTCCTTGGTGAATAATAGCCTGGTATCCTTCATGAGGGAATCCCCCTGGTAATGCCACTGCATAAAAAGGCTAATGTCCTTCAAGAGGGGAATCCCCCTGGTACTATCCCTGTTTTAAGGATGGTTATCCTTTAAAATGATAGTTTCCCTAGTACTTCTTATATAGTAGAGACAGTCATCAGACAAGTAAGGAGAATCCCATGGAGCTTCTACTTTATAGAGGACTATTTTTCTTCAAAAGGGGATTCCCCCTCCTACTTTCAATGTAGTAAGAACAGTCGTCCCACAATAGGGGAATCCTTTGGTGCTTCTACTTTATAAAGGACCATAATTGTCCTTCAAGAGGGGAATCCCCCTACTACTTCCAATGTAGTGAAAACAATCATCTTTCAATAGGGGAATCCCCTGGTTAACCATTGTATCCAGAGCTGTCATTCACTCCTGTAAAAAGATGAAGTAGGTAGTTATTCATATTCACATCACCTGTGTTTAGTATTTTCAGAAAGCCTTATTTCATTGGACGATTCCTTCCTGCTCTGTTGACCCCTAGAAAGGTAAGGAAATATGGTGTTGTAAGCAATGCTTTTTGCGTTATGCATTCTGATCCATGGCCGTCTAAAATGAAAATGTCATTTGATAAGTTGATATGACAGATGCCACTAATTACCTTATGTCCTGTATCTAAAATCCAGCTTCCTGATCGTCCTGACACCAGGTGTAAATTAATTGATACTTTAAGCAAGTAAGTATTTTATAATTTTAAAATCTGTATATGTTTTATTGATAATGCTCAATTGATTGATTGACTGACTGACTGACTGACTGACTGACTGACTGGTTGGTAATTGATTGATAGATAGATTGATTGATTGATTGGTCAGTTGGTTGGTTGGTCAGTTGGTTGGGTTGGTTGATTGTTTGGTTTGTTGGTTGGTTGGTTGGTTGGTAGTTGATTGAATGATTGATTGATTTATTGTTTGGTTGAATGGTCAGTTGGTTGGTTGGTTGGTTGGTTGGTTGGTTAGCTGGTTGGTTGGTTGGTTGGTTACTGATGGGTTGGTATGTTAACTGTTTATTTGTGTTATACATGTAATTGTACATCCTTATATTTTGCATATCTTAATCAGAGCTGGGAAAATCTCCAGTGGAATGCTTGATGCTTATTGCAAAGCTTGTGAAAAAATGGCATTTGATTGTGATGGTATGTAACTACATGTGCTTGAATGATCCTTGCAATTACTTTGCATAAACAATCATGACAAAAAGGGACTTTTCTTTTTATCACAATGCATTTCAATGTTCAAAAGCTTAACAGATAATTGTAAGAGATTCAAGTTGTTGAGCGTCTTTTAATTTGACTAGTATCTTAGTCAGTAAATTGATTAACTAAAATAGATTTTTTACATTTAGAAACATCAGCAGAGGATGACTGTGGGCTCAGCGACCTGGAAAAACTTAAAAAGAACCTGAAAAGCTTGTCCAAGGATATAATTCAGTCCTTTGAAAATAATAACAAAACCAGTAAAACAGGTAAGAAAACCTGTTTTCTCTTGACATTTTTTGTAGCAACAACAATGAAAGCAGGCATAATTTGTGCTTAATATGTTTTATATAAATTAATCAATATTCAGTCAATAAATATCAATTAATTAATTATTAATTAGCAATAATCTATTAATTAATCTTAGTTTTTAAAAGTCACTATCAATAATTGGTTAATAAATTATTATTAATTATTACTATTTTTTTATTACTAATTTGTGGTTGGTTTTTGCTTTCAGGCATTCCTGCAAAAATCTCCCTGTTAGCTGGACACATTAAATCTATGGTTAAGACAGACAATAATGTGACTTTCCCCTCCCCTGTGGTGATTGATTTGACATCGCCATGCTTAGATGCAAAAGCAATACAGGTATATGAGTCAAGGGAAAAGAATTTTTTATTTATACTCTCCTTCACAGTCCTCTGCGCTGTCTTGAAAGATAATTGTGCCTTTACATTGAAGCAAGATGACCATTGAGTTTGAAGTGACAAAAACCTTCTTTCAAACCTACAGACAACCATTCACAGGTTTATATTATTGCATGCTAAACATAGTCCCCTCTGCCGGAATCTCTCTCTCACATACTGTCTGGGGTAGTCTGGAAACGAAAATAAGACAAAGGGGGAGGGGGAGAAAAAAATTATTTTTCTTCCCTTGCCCTCAGTCTCCCCCGCCTCCCACCAAAGGAATCCCACATTTTTATAAAACTTCTTTGTATAGTGCCTGTGGAAGAGGCTATGCTAAATGGTTGTCTTRCTTTAATGCAAAGGCACAGCTAACTTTYAAAATGGYACAAAGAACCATGAAGGAGACTATTGGTTCAATTCATTTAACATGATTTTATTATCCCTTTCAGATAGTGGATTCACTCTTGAATGCATTTTGTCGTGTGTGTATTGCAACAAGAACTGCAATAAATAGCAATGACCATTCAAAGCAAGTATTGAAAATTTTCTAAAATGAGACATTGGCAGTTTAATTCACTGGTCACAAAGTTCATTGTTTGTTGTTGTTGTTTTTGTTTCTGTTATGTTTGAATTTTAATGTTGTCATAGATTCAAGTGGTTRTCAGAGTTTGTTGCTATGGTGATGTCACTACCTGCTATTCGTATGCCGCTGTATTACAGACTGTGGGAACTTTTGTGTTCTAAGGTATGATAAGTCACCCTCAATAGTTCTTATCAAACTGACTCAACTGCTAATATTTCAAATGAACTTACCCTCTACCAGCAATAGTTTATTATATTCGCCATCGTCAGCCATGACTACATCAGAGCAGTCAAAATTGGAGCTATTTGACTGTTTACAAGTCATGGTAGAGAAATTAGCATTGGTCTTCCTGTCCTGCTTCCTGAGATTAGAAGTAGGGACCTCATTATCAATGTACATTATTAGCAGTATCAAATGGTTATTGTATATGTTAATGGCGAGTTTGGGGGAGGGGGTTAGAAGTATCGGTCAAAAGATCAAAGAAGTCTTGAAGAAAGGGTGTGGCTGACTAATGTTTTACTCCTAAGAGAATGCAAAGATTGTTGCACAACAAATATTGTTACTTAATTCAGTTCCAATCATGATAAAAACACAAAGAAGAATCAATATTGATGCAAGAAAAATCAATATTAGTGCGCTCTTTCTGTTCTTTTCCAACACCTTAAGAAATGCAGAAAAAGCAAATTTCCAGAAACTTGAAATTGTCACYCCTTATTCRCCCTCTAGACAACAAGCCCCAGGACTAATTCATATGATGATAAAAAAGATAAGCTATAACAATTTTCTATTGTAAATCCATAGGGTGCTTTGTCACTAACCATCAGCCACATTCAAGGACTGGCATCATTTTTATGTCATGTCAACTCACATCACATGACACCAGTCCTGTTATTGAACGTTGGTAATGTGATGTATAAAGAAAAGCAAGAAAAGGTATGTGTAACTTAGAGATTGAAGTGTTGTGTGGTTGTTATGATCGAAGCTAGAGGAGATTTAGTTGTTGTGGGATGGTGTATTGGTATTTGGTATATATCTGATCTTAGCGACTGTTTTCATGGTGTGCAAGTCTACTACTTACCCACCTCTCCTATGGTAACTTCGTCTTCTAAAGTGATTATAGATGGCTTGACTGAATTTTCCTTTATGGAATTTCTGKATGTTCATTGGAACATTAAAAGATATTGGAATTGAATTTATATCAAAAGATTAAACCTTATTGACTTTTCACGCATTCGTCCTTCAAAATTATTAACAAAGGACCAGGATTGTACAAAACATCAGCAAGTATTTTTGTCTTTTTTTCATAAGTTATGATTATTGAGAGTGTTTTCATTTCAAATTTTTTAGATATTTTCATTTGTCGAAAATATTTTCCATTTAATTCCAATTGCAACATCTGAATGGATGGAATTCTACGTCAGGTAATAAAAGGTCTAGTCCTTGGTATTGTCTGCTTTTCCATTTGTGTTTACTTAACTTTGTAATTTTGTCTAATAGAATTTGCTGTGCGTATCTACAACAYGCAGCTGAGTCATTCAGTGATGTAGAAATCTTACCACCACAAGGAAAGCCAGGAGGTAGTTTAGCACCGATTTTGATTTTCACAAATGATTGTCATGATGTGACACAAATCCATGAAAAAAGAGATTATAACATACTTGCCTGTGTAAATTCAATCCCACATCCCACCCCTACCCCTCTAGGGAGAAGACTTTCCCCATGGGGGGAGGGGTGGGAATGGATGTACACAGGCTAATAAAATATCAGAAAATTTTATTTATTTATTTGATAGAATTAAAGTAAACATTTTAATATTAACATATTCATTTAGAACTATGTATTATAAAATGCTACGTGGTAAATCTTGTCATATTATCTTTTACCAAAGAAGTTTTATTCATTTCAGATTTGAAAARGAATAAATGTTTTGTACCRCAAATGCTCATGAAAAAGGTRAGCTGCWACAAGAGAGTGTGTGTCATGAACTTAATGACTTAGTGAGAAGTTATCTAACARCTATGGCCTGTTCTCTTTATCAATAGCTATGGTATCTCATTCATCGTTTCTCCTTCCATGCCTTTTACAAACAAGACTGCAGGTTTAATCATAGTAAGTGTAACAATATCTCAATCATTCAGTGTTATGTAATTGTTTTATGTGATCTGTAATTATATAATCCTGCAACTGTATACACTCTCGGTCTTTATTAAAGGAACATGACACACAAAACTCTATGAGTTTCCCTGTTTGTTTAACTCGATCGTCCTTGAGACAAAGCTAGGACAATGATACAGTAAGGAATAAGTTTTTACCTTAAGGCAATAATTATTAATGCAAAAAGCTTTGTTTATGGTCTCATTCACAGTACCTGTGAATGATTCTGTCCCATATCAATATTATTATGTTTGTGTTTAGTGGTTTTATTGTTGTCTGCCTTTTTCTGTTGGGATTTGTTTGYTATATGGTTTGTTTGGTTATCTGGATTGACTGTCTGTCTGTCTGTCTTTCTGATTGATTGATTGGTTTTACACCTAATTAACATATAATATTAAGTACATTGATAATTCTTATTCTTCATTTAAAGAAAACATAGTTGATACCATAAACACAGTCAAGACAACAGCACTGTATCAAAGACTGATTGCAGCAGCGCCAAAGGTTGCT